AAGCCGGAAAGGAGCAGAAAACCAGGATTGATGTTTAAACTTGACATCGAGAAGCATTTGACAACGTTAATTGGGGTTGCTTATTCAAAGTTCTTTCAAAGTTGGGTTTCCCGCCTAAATGGCTAGTTTGGATGAAGGGTGTCACGTGTTCTCCTATGTATTCCATCCTCATAAACGGGGAGGCCAAATGTTTCTTCTCCCCTCAAAAAGGGCTATGGCAGGGCGACCATTGTCTCCGGGGTTATTTGCTCTCGTCATGGACATCCTGTCTTTCATGATCAGTCTCCTGCAGAGTGAAGGAAGGTTTAAAGGCTTTTGTATGGACGAAGAGCGCGGTCTTGGGAAAGTTTCTCACCTCCTGTTTGCAGATGATTCTCTAATTTTCTGTGATGCAACTCAAGACCAGGTTCTGAATATTTCGGTCAGCCTTGTTTGCTTTCAGGCTATCACAGGCCTTAAGATTAACCTTGATAAATCAGTTATGTATACGGTGGGTGACATTCTGGAGCCAAGTTTTTTTGCTGCCATCTTGGGTTGCAAATGGAGTAGAGACCTGTCTATTTATCTCGGCTCTCCCTTGGGAGCTAAGCCCAATGCGTCGGATATTTGGAATCCCATTGAAGCAAAATATCAGAAGAAACTGCAAGGGTGGAAAGGGAGACATCTGTCCTTTGGGGCTAAGCTGGTGCTTATTAGTTCTATCCTTTCTAGCCAGCCAGTTCACTTTTTCTCCCTTCTTAAAGCTCCCAAGGGTGTCACAAATCGGCTTGAGCGGATTCAGAGAACTTTTCTTCGGAATGGATCGGGGGAGAGTCGCAAGAACTCTTTGGTTAGATAGGATGTCTGTAAGGCTTCGAAAATCAAGGGTGGACTGGGTATCATCGATTTGCCTAGCTTCAACAGTGCTCTTTTGTCCAAATGGGCATGGAGATTTGCTGTGGAAAGGGAGGGGTGGTGGAGGAAGCTAATAGAAATTAAATACCCCAATCCTTTGTCCTCTTGGCAATCTGGGCGCATTCGTGGTGGATTTTCCAGGTTTGTATGGGCTAACATTTCTAGAGAGTTTGAATTGTTCTGGAAATTTGCTTGCCTTGATCCCGGTAGTGGTGCAGATGTTTCATTTTGGCATGACTGTTGGGTTCCCGGTGCTATACTTGCCTCTAGCTTTCCCCGCGTTGCTATTGCCACCTCTCACCCTACTACCCGGATCTCATAAAATTTCCTTATCTCAGATGATAATGTGGGATGGGATTTATCTTTAAATCATTCTTTGAGAGGGGGTGCGGAGAGGGAGCGTATTGATCTTGTTAACTTTCTTAACTCAAGTGCGTTTGATAGAATTTCTAATGTCCCTTGTAGATTGGTTTGGCTTCCCAAGCCAGATTCTGGGTTTTCTGTTTCATCTATGTACAGGACTTTGGATGATGATCGATTCCCTGGGGTACTGACTATCCCGTTGCGTCAGTTTGGAAGTCTGTCATCCTCAACAAGGTGTGCTTTTTTCTTTGGACGTTGTCTCACAAGAAGCTGCTTACTCTAGACATTCAGAAGAATCGATGAGTGGCTCTCGCGAATCGATGCGTGCGCTGCAAGAGTCAGGAAGAATCTGCCAATCATTTGTTCGTGAATTGTACTTTTACTTACGAGATCTGGCATGGTTTGAAAAGAGCATGCTCGTTGGTGGAACTTCCTTCCGGTGAAATTTCCTCTATCATTTAGCATTGGCCCTCGGTTGATCCTGAAAACGTCAACTCGTGGCTTGTGTATTGCGCTCTTCATTCGATCTGTTGGCATGTGTGGTTGGAGCGAAACCAACGCATTTGTGGATTGGATTTCTGCCCATAACAAAGTGGATAAGAGCATCCGTGTGCAGTGGCTTAATGAGAATATCAGGAAAATTTAATTCTCTGCTTTGTTTGGAAGTGTATGATGTTGGGTGGAGTATGTTGTTTTCCAGGTTCTTGCTGATTTTCTGGGTTCTATTGTGTTTGTTGTCGGGGCTTTGTTCTGGCCGAGTGTAGGGGTGGCCTGCTCCACTAGACACTCTCTTTAGTCCTTTGTTTTTGTTGTTTTTTTTTTTTGGCTGCTTTTATGTTGTTTTTTCTGGGATTTGAGCGGCTTGAGATCAGATCTTGTGATCTCTCCGCCTTCTCTCAGTTTGTACTAGGTTTCATTTTTCTCCTTCTATTAATTTAATCACCATTATAAAAAAAAGTATTCTGTAATGTCTTGAATTATTATTATATCATTAAGCCACAAGTAATCTAATAATAATTATTATTCCTTACGATTTTTTCGGGTCACTGTTCACGTATTTTTTTGGTGGTTTTCTGCTACAGCAGCCCCTACGGTGTACCTCCCTAATCCATATATTTAATTGCCTGCGACTAGCTAAGTCATTAAACTCTATGTTTTGTATTTGCTGCTCTATTATGCCAATACACCTTCCGTTGTTCCACCAAAACAATTCCATTGAATGTTACAAAAGTGATGATGAAATTCCCTCCGTAGATCTCCTAGAGGCTGGCCAAGCTTCTCTCTATTTTCGCATCAAAAATTGAATCTATAACCCATCTTATCGTCTTCTCAAGCGCACAGCCCCCAGAATTCAAAGCAACAGAAGTTGCCCAAGGGCGGCTACAATTTGTCTTCTTCTTCAAGAATTCAAAGCAACAGAAGTTGCCCAAGGACGGCTACAATTCTTCTTCTTCTTCTTCTTCTTCTTCTTCTTCTTCTTCTTCTTCTTCTTCTTCTTCTTCTTCTTCTTCTTCCAGAACTAGATGTATCCTATGATTGTACCATTCAGAGCTCCATAAACGTAGGTTTCTTGCTCAAGAATGGGATATCTACTAAAATCATCGATCAGAAGCTCCATGGACAAGGATGTTTGGCGAAGTAAGTTGAGGCATCAGTGAAGAGGCTCTCCCGTCGTTGGAGGATAGATCAGAAGGATGCACTTCATATGCCAATCAGTACCAACAGCTGATATGAAAAGCTTTCTCTCCTCTCCTGTCCCCATTTGGAATCCAGCAACCACTTTTCTCCTTGAAAATCAATCTCCTATCTCAACTACCACCATCCTAACAGCTAACTTATTCTTCTTTGTGAATGGGATGGCCAAGTGTTATTTGCAGCTTCTCCAAGTGTCCATAGAAGTACATGCGTGGCTTATGATGAGAAATCATCGGCATTTGTGGATATATTTTAGTTGAATAATCCAATGTTTTCATAACCGGACCGGATGATGAATCGGAAAAGTTAGTGGTCGATGATCCCACGGTTAATTATTATAGAATTGTTGATTTCATTGGCAGAATCGTTCATGCGTTAGCATATAAAAGACACATAATACACTAATTGAGGAGTAAAATTATCACTAACCATAAAAAAAATTCGAATTCATATCATCTATTACCGAAAAGTTCTGAGTATTCAAACTATCTCAAAAAAGCAAACAAGTTTTTATTTATTTAATAATTCAAGTTAGTAATCAAGTTGACAATTTATAGTGGACCACATAGAGCTGACAAGGGGTTGGGAAATGAAGAAAAGAAGTATAAATAAAATTAGTGATTGTTGTTGGATAATCTGAGTTTATGTTAAGTATATTTTTTTTTCTCTTAATCTTTTGTGGTTAAAAGTGTGGATCATTCAAACAGGATGGTTCATCTGATTTCATGTCAAACCGTTAAAAATCGTTGGGTCTATTTTAACTATCCAGTAAAATGAACAGAACTGTAACAACTTTACTGGTCCTACTGATCCAGTCGTTTATACGATTCGCATCTTATAACAATGGAATCATTCCTAGAAACTGAATAGTGGACAAAATTTTTATGAAATATAATATTAGATCCAGCCCATTTTTATGCGTTGGAGATGAGAGTTCAAGTAATAAAGAAAAGCTTTCCACGAGCCAAATATCGTGTCATTATTTTACCATTCAATATTATGAGTCTTATTGGTTTTGTTTATGAAAGTTATATTATTGATGTCTTATAAATCAAAGATTAAAACTTCAACAGGTAAGAAATCCAAGATATATATACCCATGTCTAAAATCTATGTTGAATATTGTTCTGTATTTTCGCAGCAGAGCGCGGGCTAAATAACTATTATTAGTAAAATCAACTATCACATTTGATTAATCTATTATGTAAAATTAACTTACCTTACGCAAGCTTACGCAAATGATGAGATAGTGAAAATGTAGATAATAACAAAGGAATTTTAGTTAATGATTGAAGGATTGAGGTACAAAAAGTGTCACATTTTAGTGAACTGTTATGTAAAAAATAATTGACATCACCAAATCTTTATGTAATGCAAATCGATGAATGATCAAGCGTTTATGCTTAATTAATACAAATAACTAAACATAAGAAAAAATTAAACATTCATAATATATATGTAATATATTTTTCATTTACGTAATTTTTATTGAACGGTGTTACGTAAATACTCTGTAATGTGTGTGGTCTAATAATAACATCAAGTTATGAAAATAATTTTCTTTTATTGAATGATGTTAAGCAATGGATGACGTTATCTAATAATATATTCAAATTAAGAAAAGAAATTAGAATTTAATTATTTCGTTATATAAAAACTATCTAACTTTACAAAAAAATTGTGTAATTCAAATTACTTTTTATAACTTGCTTTTATTATTGCACCAACCTAACCAAACCTTTCATATTCCTTCCTCAATTTACAAACAAATTAAATACAAATTTATTTGGGCATTTGACGAAGGAATTGATCCTCGAAGCTTCATTGGCCACATGCTGGACTTTGTGTGGGTCTGTTGCAGAAAAACACCCCGGTGAACAATAACCTTCATGTATATATGCAGTGAATTAAGAGGGTTCTGTTTTATTTTTACTGAATTAGGAGGCAGTTAATGGGTTCCTTTTTCCGTAAGGAACAATAATTTTTTTAATAAATGGATGTAGTGCATCCTAACCTTCATTCATAACCAGACGAGACTCGGAGAGTCCCTAAGAGTCATACAAGATCCAGTACATCAACATAGGGGCACTAGCAGGAACAGAATGGAAACCTAAAGGCATAGAATGACCTTGATTTGAGTGGTAGTCGGAACACTTATTACCTTCCCTGTAAACATGGGAAAAAACAACCTCTAAGTCATGCCTGACTAAGGCCTGGAGGCGGTCAATGACTGAAATATGCTGGTGATCCGGATTTGCGTTGCTGCTGATGAGATGGATGACACAACGAGAGTCCAGCTCCACCCGCTCTCGTTGATAGCCCAGATCCCAAGCTAGTTGAAGTCCTTCCACAGCGCCTCTCAACTCAGCCCGGGTGATCGAACAAATCCCCAAGCTTATCGCGAATGTTGCAATGCAGTATCTGAGCGATCTCTCAATAGGCCTCCCGCAGCAGTAGAGCCTATGAAATGGTGAACGAAGCCATCAGAGTTGAGAGTAACCCACTCGGGAGGAGGGGGCTCCAGGAGATTACCTCCTCCGTTCTGGCAGGCGGACACAGATGGTGAAGAGTTTGGTCCTTGTCCATGGTAGTCCTCCTAATAGTTATCCAAGCCAGGACGCACTGTAGAAAAGCTTCAACTGTAACGACCTTGTTAGCAAACACTCGGTCATTCCTGGTCCTCCAAAGGGACCAACAGGTAAGGCCAAAAGATAGGCCGGTGTGCTCTTCCTTCAGGCATTTCGCAATCCATTCCTGCAGAGGCAAACTGAAAATGGTCTTGTAATCAGAAGGTCGGATTAGCCGCATCCAAGTTAACCGGGCAAATTGACAGTCCCGCAATACATGCATGACTATCTCAGGTTTATATCGGCAGAGGGTGCAAGATTTCTGAGCCGTTAGGTGTTGCCGTCCTCGTTTTGCATTAGTGAGAAGTCTCTCCCGAGCCGCCAACCACAAGAAATTTTGAACCCTCGCCGGTCCGCTCCAATGTTAGATTGTCCGCCAATCAAACTCGCGCTCCAACTGCTCGTGGTTGCAAGCGAGATCTCATACGCAGATCGTACCCTAAACCTCCCATCCTCCTTCGGCCCCCACGTTGCTACATCACTCCCTAAGTCCGCCATGGGAGGTTGGATCACTTGAACTTGCAAAACATAAGTCTTGGGGAGAAGAGACCGTAGGAAGTTAGTGTCCCACTCATATGCCGGCGTCGTGAAGGCCGCAACCGCACATTGGGGGTTGACCGGCAAAGCCTCAGCAAATACATGGTCTAGCAGCCGCTCACCGCTGTCAATCCACCTAAAAGTCCAAAACGACGTGGTTTGGCCATCCTTTATACACATGGACATTCCCCCCATCTTCACCGGCCAGGATTTGCGGATCCCTCTCCAAAGTGTTGAGGCTCGAGACGCAGATTTCGCCAACATCTGGCCCTCTACAACTTTGAAATACTTTGCCTACAAAACCTGCACCCACAGCTCCTCCGGGGTTTTCAAGAAAAGCCAAGCGAGTTTAGCTAAGAAAGCTAGATTAAGTTCATGAGCCTTCTTAAAGCCCAAACCCCCTCCTTCTTCGGTCGATAGGCTGCTTCCCAATTCACCAAGTGCATCTTGTGGGTCTCAGCCGAGGATCCCCCAGATGAATTGTCGGATCTTATGGTCAATCTCATCACAAATGGACATAGGCAGGAAAGTAGTCTGTATGGCATACGTCGGCATCGTGCCTAGGACCGACATCACCAAGGTTACCCGCCCTACAAAAGACATGTTTTTGGCTTTCCAACCTGCCAATTTGTTATCCATATGGATAAGAATGTACCTGTAGATATCTTTGGTGACTCGGCCATGCAGGACAGGAACCCCCAAATATCGACCCAGATCTTGTGTCATGGGGATCCCTATTCTGCACGAGATCTCTGAGCACATAGGTTGAGACAGATTCTTAGAAAACAACATCACTGATTTCTCCTTGCTAACTTGTTAACCTGAAGCTTGGCAGAAACGATCCAGGCAATTCAGGATTACCTCTCCTTGCTTCTCGGTTGCGTATGCAAATAGAATGAGGTCATCAGCAAAAAAGATGTGTGAGAGAGGGGGAGCACCTGGCATGATCACAACTGGTTTCCTGCGACCGGTGTCAACTGCCTCATGTACGGTGTGACTCAGCCTCTCCATACAAAGGGTGAAGAGGTAAGGAGACAGAGGGTAGCCCTGTCGGAGCCCCCCCAGTTGGGGTGAACTTCTTTGTGCAAACGCCATTCCATAGGACTTGCATGGTTGGCGACGATATGAAACCCATGATAAGTTCTATGAGCTCAGCCGGGAACCCCACGAGGGTGAGCGTTTCCTGAACAAAGCTCCAACTAACTCGACCATATGCCTTCGCTAGGTCAATCTTCATAATCATGGTCCCTTTTCGTCCCTTCTTCAGGTTCATGGAATGAACCACCTCCTGCAAGATCACAATGTTGCTTGAAATCTGCCTCCCTGGAACAAAGCTCGTCTAGGTGGGGTTGCACCAGATCTCTCATCAACAACTTGATATGATGAACAAGGCATTTTGTGAGAGTCTTGTAGATCACGTTGCAAAGGTCAATGAGACGAAAATGTTGGATGGTTTCTAGACTTTCTTTCTTAGGAATTAGCACCAACAACGTCTCATCAACCCCTGCAATCAAACGAGGATCAGAGAACATGGCCGTTACAAAGTTGGAGGCAGAGTCACCTACCACACTCCAACATTTTTTTTAAAACAATGGAGGATAGCCATCCTTCCTCCGGAGCTTTGAAGCCTCTCATGCTCTTAATCGCCGTCCACGTCTTTTCCCGCGAAATTGGTTTTTGCAGGTCGTCCCTACTTCCCTAGCGTAGCTTCGGGAAGGCTCCCGGCAGACTCGATCGTGGTCCCTCATCCGCCCGGTACAGGAACATATAGTAATCTCTTGCCATTCTGCACAACTCAGCTTCCTCGAACACCCACTACCCTTGATCGTTCTTGAGCTCCCTAATCCAGTTGAAACTCCTCCACTTGAAGGTTGAAAGATGGTAAAAGCGGTATTCATATCTCCCTGATCCACCCTTTGGGCCCTAAATTTCTGAAACCACATGATGTATTCCTGCCAGAGAGTAATTTCCAGCTCCTTGGGAACTTCACTTTCTTCTGCACGAGAAGCATCCGATCCTGCTCTCTCATTTCCCGCTTCCAAGACCCTCAACCGCCGAGCAAGTTTCCGCTTGCGATGAAGAATATGTCCAAACGTTACCTTGTTCCAGGTGGTAAGCTCGCCCGTGAGAGCAACCGACGATAATGGAAAAGTATCTCCCCGATCCCAGCTGGTTGAGAGTATTCAAAACAAAAATCTTCGTGTGCTAACCAGGCAACCATGAAACGAAATGGTTTTGGTCCCGAGCTTCTCGTGAGAGACGTAACTCCCTGGAGAAAAATGGGTATGTGGTCCGAATAGATTTCTTCCAAATAACGCGTCACTGTCTGGGGGAACCGAGTCATCCAGAGTTTGTTGCAAATGACTCTATCTAGCCGTTGGTGAAGGGTGCCCCTCCACCAAGTAGATCTCGGGCCAGTCAAACTGACGTCAAGAAGGCCACTGTCATGTAGGCATCTTCTAAAGCAGTGAGACCAAGCCTCCTGATACGGAACTCCCTCACAATGTTTCGTGGGCCCCAAGATGGAGTTAAAATCTCTAAGTAGAACCCAGGAGACGGTGGTTTTTGAGGCAGATTCGAGCCAAAGGAGAGGGACTCAACTTTTTGGAGCAAAAACAGAGCCCTAGAGAGAGAAAGTGCGAAGAACACATACTTGAAGCAATCTTGGAGCTGGGTTTTATCAAATCGAGCTTGGAGATCATCATAGGAGTGAAAATCATCATCCCAGAGCAGATTCTTCCCATTGTTATGAGTATGACTGCTTTGTATTCTGTTTCCCTCTCTCTCTATGGAGTAGAACTCTCTCTCACTTGGGCATGAAGAACCCTATTTCCATGTGTTAGGAATCTTGATTGTAATTATGTTTGGATTGTGATATTGCTTCATTATAATCGATTGAAGTGTTTTGAATGAGTCAATTGAAGTCTGATCACCTTTTATTGATTTCTGCTGCAACCTGAGATAGATAGAATCTGATTAGATTGTTAGAGCTTCTTCAATTGGTAGTAGTGAATTGATTATACGAGAGTTAGTTGATTCACTGCTTTGTACTGGAATCTAATTCCAGTAGTGGAGTTCTGTGTTTATAGCCTCAGCTTTCTATTCCGATGAAGACTAGTCGTCTGCCGGGTAGTTGGACTGAGAGGGCTTGGTCAGCTTAAGAGATTCCAAGCTACTGTCGGATCTTCCGCAGTATAATCAGCAGTAAAGCAACCAAAAGTAATTACAACTGGAACCTAACTAAGGAGCTAGGGGGACTCATTCCCGAGTGACTCTTCCTTTGCTTCAGAAAACCGAACCATTTCCTGCTTTCTTACTGCTTTTACTTAAATCAACAATCACTTGACTTAGTTGGCTAGATAATAGATATTCACGAAGTAGGCAGTAGATCTAGACCCCGGGTTGACATTCTTGCCTGTTACTGCATTTCCGGACTGCGATTACACTTGGTCGCAGTTTGGTGTTGTGTTTTAGCGTGTCAGCAGGTCGACCCACTCTTACATGTTGTTAAAAAAAAATACAAGTAAATTTTACTTTTTACAATAAAACGTAGGGAAGAACACTTTAAGAATGAAAAATATTGATAATAGAATGGATAATTGAGCCTAACAAGTTGAAAGATCGACTCTAACTAGTTGAAGAAAAGTCAAAATAGGAGAAATATGTATAGATATTGTAAGAAATTGAGATAAAATGAGTCTAGAACGGGGCGGGGCGGGGCAGGGCAGGGCGGGTTGGAAGTAGATACCCATGCCCCGCCCCACGCTACTGCGGGTCGGGTAATACCCGCCCCATCGCGGGTCAGGTCGGGTAATACCTGCGGGGCGGGTTGAAATTGCCATCACTCTCGAGTACATGTTCCTCCTCCATTTGTTGTGTGACGAAGAGAGGGGTTAGCACACACCGCCTTCACGTTGTTGCGATTCTTTTTCCCACTTACTGTTCGGAGATGACGTTGTCGAGGGAGGGTGACGCTGTCCATATTTGGTGTCCAGCGATGGGGCTATCGGGAGGTACCCCACTATTTCACATGTTTTTTTTTGGATGATCTCCTGTTGTTTTAAGAATCTACACAAGACAAGTGGTAGTAGTTCTCGAAAAGAATGCATACAGACTTCAAAGCTAGGATAACAGTCTGGTTATGGCATCCCTGGTGTATAGGTTTTGGGGAGGTGTTGTACTCCATG